CAAGCCCTCAGTAATAACCGTAGATTTTCAGTTCTTTAAACGCTTTAGTTTTCGAATATTACCGAATTTAGCTCTCCTCACTAAGGTGTTCTATAATAAAATCAATATTTCTTGAAAATTGGGGCTTGTGGAAAGCTGAAAACTTACGGTTGTACTTTTAAGAGATTGTAGTGTACAAATACATGAGTGGAAACAGCATAGCTTCGTTTTTGTATAAACATGCAAATTTTCGTTTGCTCGACTTCCAAATGAGGAAAGAACCCAAGAACGGTACATATGTGTGTCTGATGTAGTGTGCAATTTTCATGATCAAGTTGGAGATTCGTAGATTTTGTTGAACCAAGATATGAAGTTTCGCGATTTTCTGAGGTTTCAGTACACTCAGATTTTGGATGCAAACTTACATGGGTCGAAGTGAGCGAACTTTTGCACACTATCTTGTAGGGCTTGCTTTGCTCTATTGTAAAGTGCCCTAGACCCCTATTGAAAGTGTTCGCTGTATGACTTATCGCCGTAAATGTTTTAAGACTTATGATACAGCCTAATATTGCATATTTACACTGAATTTCTGTGGGTAATAAGTGACAATTGCGTTCTTATATAACTAGCGTTCTAACAAGGTAAGGATGCCAAATCGCAATGGCGAAATGGAATTGTATACATAACGTTAGATGCGTCCATGAGCTGATTTCATGTCTAACTTCCTTGTCTGCTGCGGGATTCTCCGGTAAAAGTATGAGCGCTTGAAGATGTGACATCATTATTGCATTTAATGCATAATGTGCATTGAAATCCAGCTTGGAGTGCAGATTAGTGAGATGTTGCGTGTGTTGACACAAGGAATTTGAGCGTTGAGCAGAATTATGGATCTGTGCTTTCGAAAAAGTAATTGAAGGGATGTTGGTGAACATTCGCCATATCTGAGCATTCAAATGCTCATAATTTCTTTCATAGACTCCCGCAGCAGACAGGGAAGTTATGGATTCTGAATTCAACTCAACGAGGCGCATTTAAGGGATTGCTCAACGCGCGCATTCCTTGTGTCAGCACACGCAACACCTTACCAATCTGCACTCCCAAGCTGGAATTCAATACATATTATTCATTAGAACAATAATGATTTCACATTTCCAGATAGCTTCCGCAACCTGGGGATAATCCCCTATTGAGGAATCACTTCTTAAACTTCGCGCAGACAATTTGTGAGAATTCCCTGACATCTGTGCTTGAATTCGATTTGGGGAATATCCAAATTGCTTAAAGTTGACTATCCATGACCATAATTGTCGCTTCCAAGCTGTAGTATATGATTGAAAGTTCTTGGCCTCACAAGCCTTTACATCGAAGGATTTTGCATGATATAACACTTGCTTTCAGAATTTTTAAAGGCGAGACTAAGCTAAGACCTTCTGGATACTGGGTGTTCAGGAGCGGATAATGTGTTCCTACCCCCTTCACCCCTGGGGCGGAACCCAACTGACCCCCCTTCACCCATGGCCGATGAGAAACTGGAAGAAGTGAAACTAAGAAATCAACATTTTAAGCAAAATTATAAAACTATCGGCATTATTAAGATCAAATTTAGTGACATGTTGATTCCGAATATTATTAATATGATTATCAAAAACTTATTTGCAGGCTCACTGTGAAGTGCGTCAGAAACATGCCTTCTATTGCTCACTTCTGGAGAGCGACGAAAAAGTCTAAAGAAAAATTTACGTACTCACGTATTTGCTGAAATAATAAGTGAAATGCAGTGGCGTACCCAGGATTTCCGCTCGGGGGGGGGGGGGCGACAAAAATTTTTTTCAAATGACGGTGGAATTTTAGGGGTGCTTTTCAAAATTTTTGCGGGTCCCCAACCCCTAAAATTTGGAAAAAAGGGGGCGTGGCGTCAGCCACGCCCCCGAAAAAATTTTTTTACAAAGCTAATTTGAATTTTTAAAAATTATTTTAATTATTTACAAGTATAAACAAGTCACTTGCACATTTTTATAACCCATATAAGTAACTTTCAAAAATTTGGCGACCCATTCTCGGGGGGGGGGGGGGCGCGCGCCCCCCCCCCCCGCCCCTCCCCCCCCTCGGTACGCCACTGGTGAAATTATAAATGAACTCTGATGATCAGTGCGCAGTTGAATTACATTCTTTTATAGAGGAGTAAATTTTCTATGCAAATGGCGGAATCCGTGAAAAGTCATTGATTGATTCCTTTGAGAGTCATTGTTCCAACTTTTAATATTATTTCTAAACTATGACAGAGATCGTAACATTTGCTTAGCGAAGCAGGTGCAACCAAGGGCACGTATTACATCGAAGACTTAGTGTAATCAGGGTTAGTCTTACTGTCAAAGTCCTGTAGCTACGAGGATCGTTGAGTTCTACAAACCGCCTACTTCGACGATGATATGGATGAGGAAGGACAGCCAAAAGCATTTTTCCACGTTGGAGCACGATACAAGAAGAGAAGGACAACCGTATATGATTACTGGCGATTGATTATTCTGAAAAAATTTTGTTCTCCATCGAAGAAGATTGGGAAACTTAGAAGATCTTGGGAGAAAACTTAGTCATAATTAGCCTGGTCTAGTTTAGAAGTCTAGTTCCCATCCGCTTCCAGAAAACATACAGCTTGCTAGGAAAAAGAGGGATTTTTTCTGCCAGGTAGAGATAGTTTTGGCCATTCTTTTAAAATTGAATAATTTTTCCATAAAAAATTGTAACTTTTTCATATGAGATGATAGGAGAGTATCTAGCTATACATTGAATTACTCTTGTTAAAAGTTTTCAGAATATACATAGCTTGCCAGGAAAGAAAGGATGTTCCTGCAAGGTGAAGGTGGTCGTAATTGTTTTCTCAAATTGAGAGAATTTTTCTATAAAAATTTATAACTTTACTATGTGAAAAGCTAGAAGAGTCTTTCGCATTTTATTGGAATCCTCTCGTCGTCCGCCTTCTTAGAATATGTAGGTTGCCGGGAAAAAAGGGGATTTTCCTATCGGGTGAAAGGGGTCGTAGCCGTTTTTCCGGGATTAAGCTAATTTTAAATAAAAAATTTGTAACTTTTTAATATGAAAAGCTGGAAAAGTGTTTAGGTGTTCCTTGAATTCCCTCGTCGTCCGCTTTCAGAAAATATATAGGTTGTGGGGAGAAGGATGCTAAAAGTACGCGGTGAAAGGGGGAGGAACATGGTATAATGGAAAGGTTCCTTTCTGTACTCCAAAAGCGTCGTTTTAAGGAGCTAAAGGAACATGCAAATTATACCATGTTCCTCCCCCTTTCACCACGTACTTTTAGCATCCTTCTCCCCACAACTTATATATTTTTTGAAAACGGATGACCAGAGGAATTCAACGAACACCTGAACACTTTTCCAGCTTCTCATATTAAAAAGTTACAAATTTTTTCATTTAAAATTAGCTTAATTCCGGAAAAAAGACCCCTTTTACCCGCTAGGAAAATCCCCTTTTTCCCGGCAACCTACATATTTTCAGAAAGCGGACGACGAGAGGATTCCAATAAAATGCGAAAGACTCTTCTAGCTTTTCAAGTAAAGTTATAAATTTTAATAGAAAAATTCTCTCAATTTGAAAAAACAATTACGACCACCTTCACCTTGCAGGAACATCCTTTCTTTCCTGGCAAGCTATACATATTCTGAAAGCTTTCAACAAGAGTAATTTAATGTATAGCTAGATGCTCTCCTATCTTCTCATATGAAAAAGTTATAATTTTTTATGGAAAAATTATTCATTTTTGAAAGAACGGCCAAAACTATCTCTACCTGGCAGAAAAAATCCCTCTTTTTCCTAGCAAGCTGTATGTTTTCTGAAAGCGGATGGGAACTAGACTTCTAAACTAGACTAGGCTAATTAAGACTGAGTTTCCTCCCAAGATCTTCTAAGTTTCCCAATCTTCTTCGATGGAAAACAAAATTTTTCAGAATAATCAATTGTCAGTAATCATATACGGTTGTCCTTCTCTTCTTGTATAGTGCTCCAACGTGGAAAAATGCTTTTGGCTGTCCTTCCTCACCCATATCATCGTCCAAGTAGGCGGTTTGTAGAACTCAACGATCCTCGTAGCTACAGGACTTTGACAGTAAGACTAACCCTGATTACACTAAGTCTTCGATGTAATACGTGCCCTTGGTTGCACCTGCTTTCTTCCAGATAACTACTTCTCATTATCGTTCGCATTGTGCTGCCGTTCGCCTGCCGAGCCTTCCCTAAGCTCGCTGCTTCGCATGTTGCTTGGACCTACTCCAGTACTATGAAACTTACTAACTCCATCAATCTCGTACTTATTGCGCTCTGCCCAGTGACAGCTCTACCAAGTACTATATTTGTGATGTGATCGTGAAATTTTCGAGTTACTCGGTGTTTCGATCTTTGCTTCGTCCATACGTTGGTTCGGACCGGTCCACCCCTCCATTGTTGTCTGGGGATATGACAAGCCTGATCATCTTTGTGCATCACAACCTCTTACCTCGTTCTGCTCTTTCCCCAGAAATTGTTCGTGGAAGTTTTGTCAATACACCAGTTCTCCCATATACATTTGCTCAAGCTGAATAATCAAAGAGCAATTTTGCTGCAAGCAGGGACATGAAACAGACTCCACTGAGCATCTGCCATGATATATTTACATGCTCTAAACAAGCTTAACCCCTTTTTATTCTCGATACACTATCTGCGAGCTGGAATTGAGTTGTTAATGAATGTTTTATTTTGCTTTGTTATTACTGTTCATTTGTGAGTGTTTTCGTTTTCTTTGTTCCAAATGTGGCATGCCTCGTGCGTATTAAACAAGTAATTAAATAAGCAAAGTTGGCAACGTTCTTCTCCCCGAGTTAGTCTTCCCAACACTCGCATTTTCACAGTTATCTGTGATTGTCACAAATCTTTAGAACCGAGGAAATTTTCTGACCAGCCTCAATCATTTCTCCATCATGGTTGTCATTACTGTGCATCTTCAAACTCCTCAACGGCAAGACTGCGATGGATGTGAGAGAAACATTTACTACCATGCTTTTACCACTAGTGCAGATAGAATTCGTTGATGCCCAAAGAGAGAAAAGAGTAGCCTGGGCTTGAAACATAGGCACAGGAAGAGATCACATGAATTGCAACTGCACGGAAAGAGGAAACAATAGGAAGAGAGGCGGCTTTGGTGCTGGAAAGAATCACGACGAATGGCAAGGAGACGAGGCAAAACGATCCAAAATTGACGACGAACTGTTCGCGCTACTAATTTTACGGCAAGATGAAAGAAGGATCAATTGCACATTGCAGAACATTGCAGCTTACAGACACAGACTGATAGATAGATTTCTCGAATAACAGCATTTGATGATATGGAAAAAATTGTGCCTCAGAAGATGTGTAGCTCTTATAGGGCCCAAAAGGCATTAGAATTTGGAATTGAGCGGAAGCTACAAAAAAACACAAAAATCACATTTAAGCAATTAAAAAACGCAAATGAGGAAATATGCGAATCACCGGGATAGTTTACAGGTGAAGAGGGGAGCGCTTCAGGATTCAATAACCATCTTACGGGGAGCTTTGGTCTTTCTTCGCGAAGACGAAGAAGCAGTGGTGGATACGGGAGAGTTTGAGTGGGAGTCTGATGACGACGATGCAGTCGACGTCATGTCCTTCGGTTCCGTGGGTACGACAGTGGGACCATTGCTCTGTGCCACCCCTGCAGTGAGCGGAGTGCTTAGAGATACTTGCACGAATTCCAGGCCCTGGAACATAGCGAAGTCAGGCAAATTTTGTGAGTTAAGTGATCATAAAGAGAAAAATAATGTAGGATCATATCAGAAGGTATGGCTGCCAATTTACTGTAGTTTCAAAAAGCTACTCAGATTAATCTATATTATGATTTTTTACTATCAACTGAACCAGATGTTCTCGTGTGCTGGCGACATAATCGTTCCCTATAAACTCTCTCGACTGTGATAAGCTTTTCGCTTATGAAGTCTAGGAGTCACTCAATATATTCAAGATAAACTGTTTGTAAGTCGCGTCGAAATGTGATTTTTCGAGTTGTTCAAGCATTTTGCAAGCCAGAGATATGCTGCTCGATACTGAGCCCTGGCATCAAACCCTGTTCACCTATAATAATAGGGCCCTTACTGGCAGAAGTCTTGCTGCAGAAGATGAATTTCGAACCGATAAACTTGCTGCAGAAGATAAAAGCGGTAACGGTGACTCCTCCCGACTTAAATGATGGTAAGACAGTAAGCTCAAAGGTGGGCTCAGGATAGATGAAATGCCGAAAATTTGATAATCATGATGATTGGCGAGTTTTGAATGCAATGAAACCCAAATTTGTACTTGTTGTCTTCAAACTACCCCAGTTGTTGGGCGAGCCAGCTCGATCGCTTGCATCTACTGAAGCGATTTTCTTGGTTCGAAATTCATGCGGCTGGATTTAAAGGCAGTGTCCAGGCAAACCTGGGCTTATGGGTTTTCTGCCTGGAAATTATCGAGGAGGTTCTAGTTAAGGCACTGCCCAAACCGCAGCGCAAATAATTCATTCACGGCTGAGAAATCCATCCACAACGTGACCGTCACACTTAGGATTGGCCAGCGCGAACGTAGTGCTACAGTAAGGGAAGTCGTTTTTGGGCTACGGTCACGGCTCTCAGCCGTAATCAAACAATTTGCGCTGCTCCTTGGGCAGGGCAGTGCCTTGGTTAGAACCCCCTCATCAATTTCCAGGCGGAAGTACCATGCGACCAGATTTGCCTGGACACTACCTTTAAGCTATCACTTGATTAAGGACTTCGCTATTACACTGCATTTCTCATATCTCCAATTTCTACAGCGTCCATCAAGAAGTACAGAATTATTTTTGAGCTATAGCTCGGCATCGCTAATTTGTTCACACTTTAGATTCTCTAAATGAGCTCACCTTGCTATTTGGTGTACACTCCATAGGCCCAGCAGACACTTTGCGCAGTACTTCACTCTGTCGCTGTCGTTCCGCTTCTCCAGAATTGACGGACCTCAATTTGGACGTTTTAGAAAATCTGGAGATTCCTCAGGACTATACAAGTCCAATTCTCACATATCTCAGAACGCGCATCCAACAGTTGTGCATAACTGGTCTGCATTATGATGTCATCAGTGACCGTCATGGGTTGCACGTTTTTTGAGTCAGAAGTGCACAGTGTTATTCGCTACGGGTACAGCACAACGGATGACCGTAGTTGGACCTTTACATTTTGAAACTTTGACGCTCACTGATGCGAGCAGAAAGATCCGTTTTCATCATGCATTTTGTACAGACATCAGGAAAGAATAAAATTTAGCAATTTGTTTCAAGTTTTTATACTACGTCTATAAGAATCAGATTTATCATGGGTCCAACAACAAAAAATTAAGAATCACAGCTATTTTATTTCTCTCCGTGCATTCACATATCCTAAATTGCGATTTTTCCTACTGGATCACTCAAAAATACAGTACGCAGCAGTGGCGTTCGAGAATTTTGTACGTGGGTAGGGGCACAATAGATTATTTTTCAAATGATGGGGATGACGTCAACCACGTACTGCAGAAAAAATTTGGGAGTGTTCTAGTATTTGCCGGCGTATAACCCTGAGAGTATATGAATATCAAACCTCATGTCTAATGTTAGCATAATCGATATTGCACAATATGGTTTAGGTAATTTGAACTCTGTTACTAAGTAATATCTCAACGAATAACGCTTTAGTACATTTGTCATTTCAAAAAATACATGTCAAGGATGAACGCAAAAATGGTGTTTTTCGGAAAATTTAGAGTAAAGACCCGCTAAAATTTTTGAGAGCCTCTCAATAATTAATTCGGAAAGCAGAGGGCCACCAAAACTTTAGAAAGTTTCCTAAAAAAATTCCTCAGAAGACGTGGCTTACTCCAGTCCATTCTTTCAAAAAAACATTTTGCCGTGCGCCCTCACCCACTACCCTAAAAATTTCTTGGACCCTGGCCAGTAGTAATGCTCGAAGTACTTCCTGCTTGAAGTACGTCCTATGATTTAGTGGATTTGTTTACAGCAGAGGCTAGAAAAAAGATTGCGCATCATATGAATTGCAGAGCGAACCACTCTGGAAAAGAGAAGTTTATGAAAGTTCAGATCTCTGACTCTCTTTTTCTTTTGTCATTATGTACATCCACAACTACGGTTATTCAAAAAATCAAAGAAACGGAACTTGCTTATATCTCTTCTCACTTGCCCATCTCGCCGTTTAAAAGCTCACCTCAGCTTCTCCTCATTCTTTCGCCATTCTCGGATGGAGCTCTCTGCTACATTGTACTCACGACCAGCTGCTCTATTACCATTTCCTTTGGCAAATTCTATGATCTCGAGCTTTTCGTCAATGGAGTACTGCTAAACAATATGCTGAATCTATTCTGCAGAATACAAATGAGAAGTTTAGCGATTGAAATTGCACCTTCAACGTTCTTGAAGGTGCGGCCGATGTGCTGTCCTCTGAATTCTTCCGCTTTCTTGACTTCCTAGAATTTCGTGTGGCTCCACCCGCCATACCTGCACTTAAGGTTTTCAGGGTGACAATATGAGAACGAGTAAAAAAGCAAGTCGTGCGCAATGGCGGATAGTGTAACAGAAAACAACTCCAGAGCTAAACCACAGAATGTTCGGAAAAATAGAAAACTTTTCGAAGTCGATGGGTGGGTGAATTCTAGTGATGTTTTACTACACTTCGTCCTATTCATTATAAAGAGCTCTTAATTCATTCTTCTTTTTCTTTGTTACACCGAAAGGAAAGAGAAAGACAGTGAGAAAAACACGAAAAGAGAAGGAGATCAAATTCATGCTAAGCTCCAATCAAAGTAATTCAGTAGCTTTTGCATTCGTGGCTCATGCTCAAGCATCAAATGATGATTGGGCTTTTGACGTTTTTGCAAACTCTAGAGTCAAACACTGGCTTCATTATTAGTTCAGAAAAATCTCTATGCGTTCTATGCAGTGAATATCTATGAGGGTGTCCCATAATAATTTACCGTTTTTACCCTAAACATCAGCGTTTCTCAAGAACTAGGGCACCTACAAAGGGCACAGATACATAATCGTACTTCTGTATATATGAGCTGTATGATCACGTGCGCGGGAGGAGCTCAGAACGTCTAGGATCGGAGTTTGCCATTTTACTCCATTCAATTTTTTCTTTATTTCTAACCATGGGAAAAATACGGAAAGTGTGCAGTTGATTGCTCGATGTGTCAAGCATATGCTATATGCTATGCTATAAATGGGGAATTTTTAAGATTTTTTGGGACAGAGATATGATTTTTTTTTTCGAAAAGTTCGTTTTCGACTGCTATCAGATTTAGTTCAGAACTTCACGTGGAATACGAATTGGGCAGACTCTTGGTAGCTGTCTTATAGAGCTTGCTTTGCTCTGTCAAATGATTACTCAAGAAACATCAGTTGAATGAAAGATACAAAATGGCGACGGTTACACTAAAAACAGTAAATAATTATGGGACAACCTAATATTTGAATATTTCCAGTAAATGTGCCATCGCATCCTCAAATAAGACTAATGATAAGCTTTAGATCAGCTTCAACCAGTTTATATCAGTCCATCTTTGGTACCGTTCAGTTCAAAAGGAAAACAGAGAGACTGCAGAACTTTTGCTGTACAGAAGGTCAATAAAAATTTTCCAGGAATAACCGGCTGTATCAAATTCCAGAAGAGGCTTCTTGGTGGCTCGAAAAAGCTCGTTGCACTCGTTCACAGCTTATGAAGATCATTTTTGGAGTTTTTTAAATGTATGGAGTGAACCTAAACCATTTTGCTCCAAGCAGCCCTATGTTGTGTGTGGCAACAAAAAAAAAGTAATGCGCATAATCCTGCTATAACAAATGTGGACTGGTAGCAATGCACCTGGACATCGTGGCTTTCTAGGAGCCATACAATGGGTATCCAATAACCTAAGAAACTCTTTCAGCTTCTCAGGTTCAAAGAAATGCACTGGTATAGATCAAAAGCGTCGTATGGCTGAATTAGTCATAACGAACGAAAAAAGTTTGTGCTGCCCTTTTCGTCTCAGAAATGATTCCCAAAAGTAACCAGAATATTTATAGCTACCTTCGATCACTACATGGCCAAAACACTCCCTAAAATCCCACAACAAAGTTTGCTAGCTAAAAGATTTGAGTCAAACCCTAGAACCATTCATTCCAACAAACTGTAAGAAGATAGGCTTTTGGCATGGTGAGGTTTGCGTAATCGTTCACTTTCTGGAAATCCTAGAGAGCTTTTGAAGAGCTTTTTGATGTAACTTTGAAGGCTTTTTTAGGGAGCACATGTGCAAAAAATAAGAAAAAATAAAGTTATTTGTCCCATTTCCTTTTACTGCTTCCGATATTTTGAGCAGCGCTAGCGCATCTTTGTCGTCCTCGCAAAATACAAGATTTTTGGGGTAACAGGATTTGTGAATGTAGCTCAAAATGGAAGTGTGAGGAAAAGTTTGTGGAGAGCAAGGTATTTCAAATTAAGAGAAGCAGTAAAATGTTTGATTATAATTTTCCGTCCCTGACAGCGGAGATGTAATCGGAAAAGTCGCCATTGCTCGAGAAATGGCGTAAATGGCATGAGAACGGCGGTGAGCAAAAGCATTGGCTGGCTGAGGACATGGAAGCGGCGATTTTGAGGAACAGGCGCAGTTCTGCGGGATTGAGTGCGCAGCCCGGGGCGTCCTCTCGCCAGTTTACAACGAACGCTTTCTCGCGCACCCTCATGTGATACACGCAAAGAGCCGCTCCTCTGCTGCTACTCTCTTTCACCGCAGTAATGCAGTATTTAGCACGACCAGCTCATGGCTCTCGGCACTGCGAATTTCAGAGACGAGGCAAAACTTTGCGCATAAGCCTCTTTCTTCACTTTGATGGTTCTATGGCGCGGCTGCAAGACGTGCACTACATGAAACATTGCTAATTCGAACATTCTGCAGTTCGACCAAAAGGCAGAAGTGGCGGGGTGAGGGCGAGGGGAATAGAGATAAAGTAAAAAAGAAAAGCAAGTAGGGTTTCCAAAAATCTTAATTTAAGCCGCGGACATAGTCAAGTTGTGCCACTCACCACCTGCAATTCTTCCATCACACCACAACCTATATCTTGTATAAGGCTGTGAGCAATCTAAAAAGTTGAATACCCGATTAGCGTGTAATCAAAAGAAGCATTGGGCCGGTCATAAAACTGAACTCAAAGGTTTCGAAGCAGGTAAAGGTCATTTTATTGACATCTCAAACTTCAAAATCTTTTATAGACCATGCGGCGCAAACTTACAAGTACGTATAATGGCTTTAAAATTTTGCTATTTGAACCTATCGTCTCACTACATCGGAACATACATGATGTGTTCATTAACTTCCCTCCCCCACCCCTTACTTCACCTCAAAAAAAAACTACAATCTTTGTGTTCATTCCCCGCCTTCCCATTTTCCCTCCCACGCCTTAGAAGACTATAATTTTATAATTTCTGGTGAACTGCGAGTTATCCACACTTCTGAATAAGCTTTTATAGTAAATTAGCGACGCCATTCTCAGAAATTTTGCTTGAAAATATGCGCGTTGAGATTGAAATTTCGCTGAAGGATGAAAATGCTCAAGTTGTTTGGCTCGAAGGTGGTTGTCTAACTTGGGTGATTCTTTACTACAGCTTCGCGAAGGGTAAACCATGAAAATGCAAATTTTAGAGTTGGCATAGATCAGCCCTATAAAGCAGTAGTCCCAAGAGCCACCAGAGTGTTCTCCCAGCGGCCTCTAACGGCACCCCCTCATGTGTGTGAGAAGTGCTGACATGCTGCGAACGAACCATTCGCTGTAACGTCGTCAGCTTTGCCACCGTGCGAGGCTGCGGCGTTCATGCGCAAAGTTCGAAATCGATGAATGGGGGGCCAACAGCCCTCCTGGTGGTTGTGATGCGCACCAGACGACGTTCAATCAATAGGGGCGAGCTCTACCCTGGTGCTATCACTCGGTCCTGTGGGCGACATCAGCAACTTTGGTCCCATACAGTGCTCGTCCACTGATCAGCGACGAGCAGTCGTCGTGCTTCGGGCTGAACTGCCGGTGCGCGACAAGCAGGACGAGGACGTCGACGTTGTCGTCGAATACCCCGCGTTTGTCCTTATGAATCAATGCTATCCCCATTCACAAACAGCGCGAAGCTTCGCGCAATCGTTCCCGTGTTTGCCAATCTCAATAAATGGGCTGATGACGCAGCCGCCAGCCCCGCTATCTACCGTTACCCGGCTAGGCTTAGGTTCGACGACGAGAAGCTCGAGCATGACTCGCGCTTCGCATCTCTCCGCCGCCCTCGCACGCGCACACACACGCACATATCGAGACGCGGCCGTTTATCGCTACGCTATTATAATTGTATGCGCGCAGGAAAACACTGAGGCCTGCTCGCTCGGTCCCAGTCCAGCACCCCCACGCATACACTCACCGACAATCTTCTACGAATCATTAGAACAGAATATGCGATGAAGGGACCTGTACGCGCTATTCTATTATCAAAATAGGAGTAGAGGTGCGCAGTTGCTAAGTAAGTGATCTAGCGGAATCGGATATCCCCAGAACCGAAAGCAGAGGAGCGAATGACTTCCAACCAGAAATCTTACAATTTCTGGTTAAACGTAGTTATCAAAACTAATGGTACGAATAGTTACTGTCCAAATTGCGCGAACTTAGGATGATGCCTAATTTTGAACTTTCAACAACAAAATTTGCAATGTAAGCACATCTTTCAAAAATTTTCTATGCTTTGACAATATACTCTTGATGTCACTCTGCCGTAAAAGTGAATGAAGCAGACTGAATGATTGATAGAAAAATGAGCGCCCTGAAAACAGCTTTGAATTATCTATCAGAATTAAAAGGAAGTACTCAGTGAGCATGAAAAAAGAGTAGACAAATCAAGGCAAATATCAGTAAAATAACAGAGATCAAAGAGGAGCATTCAAAATCCTCTTTTTTGTGAAATTAACACTTCTTGTTGAAGTCTTGTGAGGTGCCTAAAGAACAGAACTGTACATGAAATTCTCCATAAAGAAAAGCTGCGGCGTTTCTGCACGGAATAAACAACCATAAAAGGAGGCCTCAAAGAAAACGTGCCGAAACTGTTTGTGCTGCCGCGCGGCTCACGGAGCTAATGACTTAGAATTCGCGCGGCATCGATCCGCCCCGGTTTGGCTCCCGTCCGTTTTCGTAGTTTCGCGCACTCCCCGGACACGGCACGCAGGCGCTAGGATGAGCAGATTTTGTGATTGACTAGAGTGCTTTGCTACGAGATTCAAATCGCAAGCTGCGCGCATAGAGATCGGTAGGTGATTTCGATAAGAGGTGGAGATGGCAGGACTGAAAGTGATAAACTCGAGCGATGATGGCGCGGTTTGACGGCCAGGTAGAGCGAGGGATCGATGGCTGAGCTCTGTCCGCGCACCCTCAATTAGCGCAGGACTTATCAGCCACATGCGGGCGTGGCTGCGTGAGAAGCTAGAGAGTATCAGTGTTGATACGGA